GTATATATATATATATATATATATATAGCCTGCTGTACATTATACTGAGCCATCGGTCCCCCGATTGGACAAAGATAACTTTACGGATGTACTAAAATCTGGGGTTCAATTTCCCACGGTGGTCACAGCAGATAACCCAATGTGGCTTTGCTTTAAAAAATCAAACACCGTATGTCAGCCCGTTGTAGCTTTGCGCGTAGCAAACAAACGAAAAATCAAAGCTGTTGAAGAGTAAAGTAGATTGCATACAAATATTTTTGTTAAACAAATTTAATTATTTGAAATCTGTAATATTTGTGTATCAGTCGTTCCTGACTGATGTTTCCGTCTTTAGTTCAGAGACTTAATTTCACCAAAGAAATCTTGTAAGCCTGCCTACCTTATAATATTAACTGAACGTAGTGTATTACTGATAAAAAATATGACATTTAGAACCACTAAAGTCTTTGTTTTTTACCCAGTCCTGCGTTATGAATTAAATTTCCGTAACAGATATTTGTTGCTTAAGTACAAGATTTAATAAAGAATATATATGCCACTCCTCTTTAATGTTCCTCCAGAGTTATTCGCATTTAGCACTTAAATTTGCATTTCTTACACTACAGTCCACTTGTTTCTTTTTATTTGTATATTGTTAGTTTCACTTGTAATCATATACACCGAATGGCGGCCTGGTAGTTAGGGCGCTCGACTTGCAATCTTTTGGTCACGGAATCTAAACCTGTCACCGAACATGCCCTTTCGGCCGTGAAGGCGTTATAATGGTACGGCCAATCCCATTATTCGTTGCTAAAGAGTAACCCAAATGTTGGCGGTTGTCTTTCCTTCTAGTCTTATCACTTCGAAAGTTAGGGACGGCTAGCGCGAAATTCAACAAACAAGCACCGACAGAATTGGTAAAAGCAAATATTTTACCCTTTTCCATTTTGTTGGGTTTCAGTGGGTTGTTCCTGTATTTTAGGAACTACGATACTTTTTTTTTTTTTTACGCTATAGTTACACCGACCTACGTGAGTGGTTCAGCATATGTCATCTGTACTTCTTATTTTATGTTGTGCTTTTCTCAGTGCTTGTCACTACGTAAACTATTTAGATGTTAATTGCTTATGTACTTTTTTTAATGATATCTTATAGTGTTCTGTATGGAAATTTCCTTGGCTGGTCAACCATAAAGACAATCATGAATGTTCTTTTATATACACAATATTGCTTTATTTATTTTTTCTTTCACGACTTTTGTATATTCCCCAAATTTTATTAAATTTAACTAATAAACATAGGTACTTCACCAGGGGGTCAAAAGGGGCACGTGTCACACTACTTTGAATGTTTTTGTAGCAAAAAGTTTCTCCGTTCTCTCTTCACTCGCACACTTTTAACCCCCCCCCCCCCCCCAGTGGCACAGCGGTATATCTCTGCGGACTTACAACGCTAGAAACCGGGTTTCGATGATACCCTTGGTGGGCAGAGCACAGATAGCCCATTGTGTACCTTTGTGCTTAACTTCAAACAAACACTTTTAAACAACGTTAGGCGCAGTAAATTTCAAATATGAATATTAGTTTAATTTTTGCATTAACGTTTACTTGTTTTGCTATGGCATGACAGTGGGCAGATCACAATACCCGTCTGAGTTATTTAAACGTCAAATTTTACTTTGTTTTATTATTGAAATGCAATACGATCATAGCTCGTAGAAAATAAAGAACAAAATAAATGACTTCCACTTTTCAACCATTTGCTACAGAGGCCACTTGATAAGTACCTTTTTTATTTAAAAACTACCAACATTTTATGATTTATGTTACAGTTTATCCGAACACACACGCATGGGTACAATGGTGTTTATTACTATATTGTGCTAAAAATGTGAATCTATCAATCCGCAAGAAGTGTACCGCCTTTAATGAGAAAAATGCCACAACAAAAATTGAAGAGAGATTAATTTTATACGAAGTGTGGTGTTAGTTTTAGCTGTATGCTCTTTAAAGAAATGTATCAGCTAGACGGTTTTGTATTATAGAATTCAAAAGTGTTTTTATACGTGCTTTTTGGAAACTTCGTCCCCTTACACAACCGAGATTCATTGACTTACAACATAAATAGTATGATGAATTTTGAATAATGATTTATCACCGTGTTTGTAACATAAGATGTAATCTAGAATAAATGTTTTTCTGCTTAACATTTTATATTTAGTCCTTCACTATATTTCTCTGTTGTATTCTAGGTCAACTATGTCTGTAAGGAATAAATAACTTGGTATACGAGGTTTTTTTATACCGTATTTGCCGGTGTATAAGACGACCCCGAATTGTTTTAAGAGTAAAAAGTATCGTTTGTATACACCGGCAAATACGGTAAGTCTGCTTGGAACAATATGTTATCAATATAGTGCTTGTTATTTGTTAAGTTGTTAGTGCATTAAAATAGCAATTGTTTTATTTTTCCTTTTAATTTACTGATCTTAACTTTATTTGTTGTTAATATCGGCCATTTTTAAAACTTTCTTTGTTCTATAAATCTTGGAGGTATCCCACACTTTACAAAATTTAAAATTCAAAAACAGCTAAAATGGGATAGAAAAAATATATATATAATTTTTAGCTGTTTTTGAATTTTAAATTTTCTTTTTTCTGTAACGATAAAACGAAAAGAAACGTATTGAGAAATGTTATAATATAGATTATTTTTCACGTATGGTTTAAATACACTTTAAAACTGTTCATTCTTTTATTGTTGTCTGAGTAGGAAAGAACCAGTATTTTTGTATACAAGGTAAAGGTACAAGACTTTGGCCAAAGGCATGAGTGAATATATGACAAACTGTGTGATTGAGAAATCATTAGTTAAACCGTTAAAGTGTTGGAAACAAGAGAAAACTCCAAATGAATATTTTTGCGGAATCTGTAACGTATTTTTTGTTTTATCTATAAATTTCCCACAGGAGGCTTTACGTATAATACTAAGGGAATACCTCAGTCGCTTCTCAAACCTTGCTGGAAGCTTAATAAGCTGTGGACCGGTTCTTAATTGGCTTGAGGTAAGTTAATAGCGGATTTTCAAAAGCTTGAAGTAAGTTAATGGCGGATTTTAAGAAATTTGATCAGTGACAAAGTAGTGTTTAACTAGCTTAAAATTGTTTAGTTGAGTAATCTAAAGGGGAGGGGGATACTTCTTTTTTTTCCCCTTTAAAATCTTTGATATATTGCAGATCTGTGTTTAACTTCTTATGTTCTTAAGTTGTGTAACTTAACCGACAAATATTGAACCTAGAATTACCGATGGTGTTCCATATGAACCCAATTCCCTTTTTAAAACTTACCAGTCATATAATTAAGCAAAAACATAAACGTTGTAATTAATTTCACTAATCACTATTGTGTTCTTCCATGATTTCATCCCCCCTTTTTTATGTCTCAATTCTTTACACTGAGTGCCATAAGCATAAATATAAATTTATTCAATATGATGCAATGTATAGATCCCACTTATAATGAATGGTATAAAACAAAAAGTCGGTGATTTGTTGAGGGAAATACCTCGGTCGTTTCGGGAAACACAACCATCTGTACACTATATATTATAACTAAGTAGCGACAATGACAAATTCCTTGGAAATACCTCAGTCGGTCTCGTATCTTGCCTGGAGATAATTGATTAAATGCACAAATAATAAAACAGGAAATAATATAATAGATGAAGATGAATGTGGCAAATTTCCGTGCTGTTTTCTTTCATTCACGCTAATAATCTTAATGAAATTACAGATGGTTGTCCTGGTACCTGATGTAGTATCCTCTTGGTCTGAGTAGTTATATATCGTCGCATTAATAGCAGTAGCCGGTAGTTTCACCTTTTAACAGAATTGTTAAGGGCACCCGTTATTATGTTTTCGTCACCCCGTGAAACTAAAGGTCATAATTTTAGTGTAGAAAGGTTTCCAGGTGTCAGTTAATGGAATATATACTACAAGAAATGTAGCGCTTACTTTAAATAATAAAAAAAAGTTCTTTGGTTGTATGATAGAAGATTGAGCTCTGATGTGTGAGAGAATTAATTTGGGTGGGCCACAGTGAAATTTGGAAGTGCACGAGCCCTAGCACTGGCCTTGCTATACAGATAAAACAGCGATACCAGTAATAGAGTTTGAGTTAACCCATGTGATAATTAGATAGTTAGATGAGCGATCAAATTTACTGGTTCCCTCATCTCGTGGAACACCAAATCAAAATGGAAGAGAGTGCCTTTCTTAAGAGGACCTTCCTTACCAGTTAACAATTTAGTCGCCTTTCTTAAGAGGACCTTCCTTACCAGTTAACAATTTAGTCGCCTTTCTTAAGAGGACCTTCCTTACCAGTTAACAATTTGGTCGCCTTTCTTAAGAGGATCTTCCTTACCAGTTAACAGTTTGATCGCCTGTCTTAAGAGGACTCCCCTTATCAGTAAACAGTTTGGTCGTCTGTCGTAAGAGGACTATCTTTACCAGTTAACAATTTGGTCGTGTTTTGTGAACATTTTCGGTTATTTTAGATATTGTCGTTTTTTTCAGTTATTTTAATTAGAAGTGTTTAAATACAGGCTACACGCACTGTTAACAAATAACACCTTCTTTAATCTAATTACTCATATTTTTTTGTGTCTTGTAACATTAAAACTACTATTTTATAATGTTAGATATAATTCAAAATCATGCTGTTAACTAAGTACAACGGACATTAACTTAATTTCGGGTCATTAATCTAGCTCGACAACCGGGGAAACCGGCTGATTGTAACGGATGAGGCTGCTATCAACACTCCGGCGATAGCTGGTGCGTACGTCATCAAAGGGTATACGGCGCAGGCTCCTGACGAAATATCATTTGAAGTAAGATAATAGTATTGTTTTTTTCATTGAAGAAAAATAACTAGTCTTAACGTGTTCTCTCTTTGAGAGTTCGTTAAGTTGTATAAGTAATCATGAGTATGTTTTATACAAGTAAACAGAAATAGATGACAGACTAGGGTATCGTTTGATTAAAACGTAAGGTTCTTTCGATGTGACTCGTATGCTGACGTAGTACAGTGTTTGTTGTCTCTAGCAGTAAATTTCTTCTTTACTTTTAACAGCGGAAAGTAGTAAATAATTATTTATCAATAAGCACTGTCTGTTGTTAATATCTAGAAGCTTCTCTTTATGACTACTCACTAAGGAAGATCATGTGATAAATGGGAAAAAATGTCTGTTTCTGTTTTGAGAATTACCGTAGTCATTTTTTGTCTAATTTTTGCATATAAGATATTTCAATATCATACGTAAAAACTGTGAATGAATGAATGCGCTCGATCCGAAAAAAAGTGTTCGGATAAATCTCCCGAGAAAATTATTTACAAATTTCATCTATATTTGCAGTGCTAAAAGCGTAAATTACATTTACGTATATGTTTTTGTTATTAAAAAGAAAGAAAAGAAAAAACAGCGTTATTGATGGCTCAATAAAGTAAGTATACATACAAATAAGTGTAGAGTGCAAAAAAAATTAATGTAAAGAGAAAAAAAATAAACTCCTAAGCAACCTGTTCCAATCTGAGGCAGGGAGTCTTATTTGTTCTGCAGCCATACATTAACACCACCTATTTTTACCCAATGTTAAACCGCGGGGTTTTGGTAGAAAGTAGCAACAGTCATTTTCATGCACATTATGCTCCTCATCTGTAGCAACATTTGTGGCAAAGTTAAATTTGCAAAGATAAGAGAAGCGTGTTACGATATTAACTTTATGGCTAGCTAAGCAGCGAGACGTTAAACCTGGAAATCTCTTGCTTCGATGACTCCAGTTCAGATATTTTTTTTCTTTTCCATTCAAACACAGTTTTATGTGTGTGTATACATTTACATATATATATAACGAAAATGGCTAACTACTTTCTTTGTGTTTTACTTGATTTAAATTTTTTAAAACTAGAGTTTCTGCTTGATTTTTATTTATATAAAAAAAGGTTTAACCGCAGATGTTGACTGGTTATGTTGCCTAATGCGAGCTTGGAGGACTAAGTATTATTATATTTACGAGGAAACTATGTAAAGGTGTCTTATTATAAACGACAACTTCACCAACTTTCACGTTAAAAATCATATAAACTTCCACCACTAACCTAGCTGGGTTCATAAAGCTTCACATTTCTTAAACTACTGTTTTCAGTAGGTCATATCATGGGTGTTGATACTTAGTCATATGTCAAAATTTGTACCTTAATTATTGTTTGTCAAAAATCTTCTCTCTGTATTGTACGTAACACCTAGGGGAACTAATTTAGCTTGCTTGGCGTTAAAAGGGGAGTAAAAGGTTTAGTATCATACTGAATAAGCTTAACATATAAAGTACAACATTTGGGACATAAGTAAATAGAAACTTGACCTTTTAACGGTCAGTTCATGCCTGAGTGAGTACCACCCTACGACAACAGTACACGTGCATATCTGAGTGCGATCGAATAAGCTATACTGTACTATTTTATGTGCTGATGTATTGTCGCGCGAGTGTTCGTATGTTTAAAATAATAACGTATCTTAAGCGTATTTCAGACTTCAGTTGTTTTCAAGTTTTTATGTTTACAGTTAAATCAACACGTGTATCGGAGACGTAATTATGAGACAAAATTGTCACGTTAAAGAATGTTATTCGTTTTAGCGGATTTTTACCGCAACCCATCCGTAAATCATAAAATTTCACATGTTTTCTTAACACATCACATGCTAATATGATTATTTTGGTGTGCAAGGATTTATGCGTAAGCTGACCGAGTTTTAGGGACAGCGGTTCTCAACCTATTCGATACTAGGGTCCCGCTTGGCTTGCTATCTCTCCAAGTTGTAACTGACCACTAAAATGCAAGTGCAAAAAAAAGAAAAGGAGAGGGGAAAAAAAACATTACGATTTATATATGAATTTTCTATTAGTTTTTGTTAGTTTGTCATCGTGAAGTCCCACGGAACGGCGCCTGTTCGGAGACCGGTGGTTGAGAATCACTGATTTAGGATATCCGCCGTATGTGTATATCACATTGGTCGTTTTTTATAGCTGTTACTAACATGTGTATATAAAGAAGGCTTAAATAACCAGTTCCAAAATATTAACATATAAATTCGACAGCTACTTTTCGATAAAAACATACCGCTCTTTTGTACTTTTTGATATGGAATGTTGTTGTTGGAGTTTTCATTAGTGTTCATCTTTGTGATTGAAAATATTCTGAAATTTCAGTCCACACCATATATAACAAAGTAGTTTGTGCTGTTAAGATGTTATTTTTTGCATTGACGGATTTACGATACATAAACTAATGTGCTAAAATGTGGATCCTTGGTTCGCTCTCAACACTTTGGATCCATGGCTGCGGTCAAATCCCTCTATTCAATTAATCAGTGAGTTTGGCGGTTGGCGGTGTTGACTAGCCAGCTATCTCCCCTCTAGTCTATCACTTTAAAATTAGGGACGGCTAACGCAGATAGTCCTTGAGTAGCTTTGCATAAAATTCAAAGTAATAGTGTGGTCTGACATTTGTAAATGTTGAGATTTGTGGGATACTTGTAATAAGACAATGACTTCACTACTTACAAGCGGAATACATGATTTGATTTGAATGATTTTACATCTTATACAAAATAATGTAAACAGTTCAAACAGTTTAGGATACAGTTATTTTTTTATCAAAAACAAAATATAATTATTTATGTTTTTATACAAATTTACATCTTTTTTCTGGAAATATTGTAAAGTTAAATGTTCAGTCATAGTTATAGTTACATCGTCATATATCATATGTGTGTGTGTGTGTATAAAACAGATCGCAGCTCCGCGTACAGACTAGTCGAGCATTTATTTTTACACGCTTTGTTTAAATTATTTTCTCTTTCTCTCTCTCTCTCTCTCTCTATATATATATATATATAACATTCTATTGCAAACTTACGATGTCTCTTATTGTGTGTAAATATAAGTGTCATTATGCGTTACATAAATAATTTTCTTTTGTGTATAACTATAACTTCTCTACATTTTAATTCTGTAATTAATATTTAAAGATAAAACGAAATTCATTTGTATAGAATGAAAGGAAAGATGAGAAGTATAGGGTTTTATATAGGGGTGGTTTGTTAATGCTCATCATGAAGTAATGAAAAGATTATATGTTCTAGTTTGTTCTATAGCACCGTGTTTCCCTAAAAGGCGTGCCTTGTTTCGTATTATTACATCATTTGACTGAACTAGACCGCCTCAACCTTCACATTGATTAAGTGGACTCACCCAGTGGCGTCTGTGTTCGCGTGGCCCGCTCGTTCTTATATTGTAGTACAACGTCGGGTTGGTGCTTTCTGCCGAACGTAGTAACGCACAGCGTTTTTTTTTCTTTCTTTTTTTTTGTTTGTTGTTGTTTTTTAACTTTTATAGCAACTTTTCTTAACATGGATAAAAAAAGTGAGAAGCTTAAATAATTATTTTCAACAGTATTTAATTCCATCAGACTGGGTGGTTAATTAGGTAAACTCGCAACATTTTTATGTTTCTGTCCCATTGTTAATAGATAGGACTGTGCGGTTGTCATTGTTGATTAAAGTCAAGCGGATTACTATTTATTCATGATGTTGGTACTTGCTACATGGTTTGTAATTTTGTGTAAACGACCCGATTTGTTTTGTGTTTGTGCTTTGTTCATAATGGAGTGGTTATGCTAGTTAATGATAAGTTTGATAGATTATTTAAAACTGGATATCTCTTGTCCTGTATGGTTTGATGTTAAACGATGCTTCTTACTCATCAATTTGATAGTATGGTAAAGTTTTGTTTTTCTAGCAAGAGACTGTTTTTTTTTTTGAACAACTAAAAAAAGAGTTTATCTTTAACGTTTATAAATGTTTTTTTTTTTTCTCGGTGCCGATTAGAAATGATTTATTATTTTAAACTTTGATGACATGGATAGACTATTTGCAGCTTTGGTTAGAATCTCTGGTGTTTGGTAACTTTTACCGATTTTGTGAAACTGTAATTTTCACAATGCTTTATACACTAATTGGACATTTTGTTAAGGCTCCCCTAAGTAAAGCACACTTATAGTTTGATATGTCAGATGAGCATGATAGCAGGTGCTCATTTAGCAGATGTGTAATGATAAAGACTATAATATTACTAGGACAGATTGTGGCCACCAGCTCCTGGTGACAAACTAAGTGAAAAATAATTAGATAGACTTGTCCTCATCAAGTACCATCTTTTATTCCTGTTGACTGAGTCCCTTATTGATAAGGATGCAATTATTTCTAACCACCTCATGCAAAAGCTGTCATATGACAGCTAACAGGTAATTAAAAACTAGTTATTTCAGATGCAAGTGGGTGAGTGTTGCTTCAATGGGGTTTAGAGCAAACTGTGGATGAAGAGAAGTGGGTTATGTGATCTGATGAGTTGTTCTTCAAGCCTTCTTTGTAAAGATATGGAAAAACTATATGATGCACTTGACCTTTCTTGTACTGTTTTGATCATCTTCTTTAGCCAACAAAACAATCAATTCTCAATCTGATTGAGCATGTATGAGATAAACTTAAGCATCACGTTCATCACTATAACTCTCTGCTAACAATTGTGAGCAAGCTAGATACTCTCTACCTCAGCAAGTTGGCTACAGTTGCACCTTCCAACTTCGTAATATGATCTTGGTAAATTGTGGTGTAATCCAGCATTGATGTATTGTGATTAATTTTTGTCAAGTTTAATGGGGGGGATTTATTATGTGGAACTGTGATGTTCATTATTTTTTGTATGGATTAATGATAAGGATTGTTTATGTTTAGTTATGGGTAACTTGTATTCATATCTGAAAAATGTATGTGGTTAAATTATGGTTCATTTGAGATGTGCATGGAAACATAAAGTGTTATACAGAATATTTTTCTAGATTGGAGATATGGTATCAGTGATTGACATGCCACCACCTGAGGAATCTACATGGTGGAGAGGAAAGCGAAGATTTGAGGTAATCAGGGTACTAAGGAAATTAAAGATGCAAACTTGAATTATCAAATAAAAATGGTATTATCATGAATCAAGTTTGTAATCTTTAGAAAAATTGTCTTTCTGTACCAATTAAGTTGAAATAAAAATTTAATACAGTACAAATGTAAATGGTACCAACCAGATAGAAGAACTATTTACAAACTCGCTAGATGATCAACCAGTTTCGAACAATAAAATAATGTTTTTAGAAAAACTTATGTTTTAAGCTATTTTTGGGGGGGTTAAAATATCAGTTTACAACATTTGTATTTGTGCCTTTATTTAAAGTATTACTAATTTTCACTGTCATTAAACATAATCTAATACCAACTTTCCCAAATTATCTAGGTTGGATTTTTTCCCAGTGAATGTGTTGAAGTAATTGGAGAAAAAGTTCCCCAGGTGTTCAAGATACCAACAGCTCCAACAAAACCTGGTCAGTCATGAGTGTTTGTAGATACACTTTTAAAGATGTCGGCTTTCATAATTAGTGTGATAGATGAGTGTTTTAGCATTTTAGTCATTATATTAAGTTAATATATTTCATTGAAATTAAAAATATGTGCTGCTTTCTTGATAGGTTGATATCTTAATATTTCTACTTTAGAAAACCACTAACTGTTTAATTTGATATTGCAATAATCTTAATTTACACCCTCAATGAAAACCCTGTAAACTCAATAAATTTAATACTTAGATGAGTATGTTTAGTTTTAATGCCCTAGACTTAGGTTTTTATTTGTAACGTTAGTTTTGCAGTATTGCTTAAACGAAGAAAAATGTAGGTGTTTTACAAATTTAGATGATTAATATAATAATCTGTAAAACACAGAACAAAATATCATCATGTTTGTAAACTATATCAGTGGTTCCCATCTACTAGGTCATATGGAGATTTCAGGTGGTCCACAAGATGGTTGAAAAAATATACAGTTACTGAAGTGTATTGTTTTAACATAATTTAAAAGGTTAATATTGCACAAAGCAGTCTGTGAAACTTTCTGATCAAAATTAGCTGGTCCACAGTGTGAAAAAGGTTGTAAACCACTTCACTATTCTACCATAAGTAATGGAACAGCACACCTTATACTAATGATGGTCCTATCCACACTCAGTTGGACAACATCTGAGTCTGATATATTTTAACTGACTAGTACCCAAGTCAACTGTGAGATGCATTGATGAAGTAGAAGACTGCAGGATATGGTAACTTGAAATATTGCCATGCAAACAAAACTACATTTGGAATTATGGTTTTGACTTTTTTTTCTCATTAAGGAATGTAATACAGATGTGTGCATTAATAAACAACTCAAAAGAATGTGTTGAATACACAAGGTTGGCAAGTCGGTTGTTTGATTGGTCAAACAATGTCATTTGACCAATCAAAAAAGTCTAAAACCTCTATTTAATACTGTAAATACCCTTGTATTAGTGAATTTTATCTGATGAATTTTTAAGCTCCAAACATCTCCCAACCCCTATTCATAGGCAAGTCTTAGAATTACACCCTTGTTAATAGACTTCAAGATAAGCGAGTGTTCAATCCAAACAATAAAGACTGTGTGTATGTGTGTTGTTTCTTAGCCTATTATTTTTTACCAGATGAAACCTCTATGTTATCCTCTACCATATTATGATATTCTTCAATCATATGCAGCAAACAGCTATGATTTTATTTAAACTTGCAATATAACTTTATAGTAATGGAATATCATCAACAAAAAATGGACATTTACTTGATATAATTACAATTATTAAAGCATGCATTAGGTCCTACCTATAATTATTTATCTGTTGTTACAACAAAACCTGGGTCACTATATCAGTACAGTGGTGACAAGCCAGTGTAAACAATAAAAATAATTGAATGAGTAATGTTTAATATATGTATTTAAGATAATAAAAACTAATAACAGACATATATTTGACTATTATTTGATTGGTCAATTAACCAGTTTTTTTTTAAAGCCAGTCAAATCTCCATCCAAGTGAATACAGTGTTAATAATGAATAAGAGTATACATAATTTGTGAAATAACTTTAACTTATAGTTACCACAAATGCTTCTGATATAAATAATACATTTTTATTACTTTTCCATCTTCCTAGTACTGCGAAAACAGGGAAAACTCATTGCTTTCTTCAGATCTTTTCTTTTGTCTCGACCCTCAAGGCGGAAACTTAAACAGAGTGGTATATTGAAAGAAAGAGTGTTTGGTTGTGACCTGGGAGAGCATTTGTTGAATACTTCCAGAGAAAGTAAGTAGAAAGTTCAAGTTTCTTGTTTCCGAACAAATAATGTTTGAGAAAATAGATAAAACAAACACACATACAATATTGGAAATAATTATGGAAGCAGTGAATAAAATTGGCATGAAATATTAGGGGGATTGCTTCCCCTCTATTATATGAAAATTAATTGCATCAGATACAGTCATGTCTTCATAATTTACACTGATAGGCTGTTATCCAATTGATCACACAGTAGCACACTAGCATAATACAGTCATACTATTCCCAGTAGTAGTGTGGTTAATGCACTCAGAACAAAAATGCCTAATGAAAATCATGTAGAAATCACAGTTTTGGCAGGTGAAGGCTACTCAATACAAAAGGTTGAAATTAAATATCTTGTTTCAGTTGGAGTTCTGTGGAAACTCTTGATGAGGTATGTAAAACTAATAGTGTTGAAAATAAACGCAGTGAAGCTAGAAAGCCCACATTCTTCAAAAATGATAACTAACTCAGAGTGTGTTATCAACACAATAATCCAGTAGAGACCTTGCCAATGACCTAGCTCCAAGTAAAAATATGAATGTTCTGGAGGCACACAGTAACATGGAGTGACCTTAATGATCACTGCCATGTTCCCCACTAGTGAGTCATAACTGATTTTGAGCTATGAACTGCATGACACACCAGTGGGTCACAGACAATTAGGTTTCAAAGCCAAATTTCTTTGTGGCATATGAGTTTGGGACCCTGTGACTGCTCCTCAGCACCTCTTGAATGGCACTAGGGTAGGAATTAGTAATACTACTGGTGGCAGCGAACATGTTAATTTTATTCAGCATCTCATTCTGTCTTGAAAAATACTTATTTGACAGGGATTTATCTTCCAGCAAGATAGTGAAAAGGAAAAAAAGAGGTCAATGAAACACTAAGAACCATGATTTGGCCTGCACAGAGCCCAATATACCTATTATTAAAGGTATACAAGTTTATATGGAAACTGAGAATATTTAACAGCAACCAATTAACTTGGCTGAATTGTTTAGACTAATACAAGGCATTTGGTACAATATTTAATAACAATACACTTATAAATTTGTGGTAGTGCTAAAGCAAGGTGTACTGCTGTTTCTAAAGCAAATACAAAGCACTAGTGGAAATTATTTGATTTTCTTTTGTATTTTGTATGATATGTATTATACTGGTGATAAATAGGCCATTTATTTGCAGTTACTTATTGTATGTGACTTCTGTATCTGTGTCACCTGTGATTTTTCCTTAATTGTTTCCAACACTGTATTTATACACAGCAGATACTGCTAAATGAACTGGATACAAATATTTCATACATGTGAATATTAGTAGTTGGTGTGTTTCTTATTTACTTGTTATTGCATATGTTTGAATGAGTCATGGTAAACATGTAACACAATTTAAATACGATAGAAGTTACATGGACTTGTTAACTTATTCATTCTTTGACATTTCGGGATTTATTAATAAATAATTTATCACTGATAAGTGATAAAAAGATATAATTCATTCTTATAGTTCCTCTGGTGTTAAAATGTTGCACCGAGTTTATTGAAACCCATGGAATTGTTGATGGGGTATACCGATTATCGGGAGTGACATCAAACATCCAGAAACTGAGGTAAGAATCTCTTTATTTCAATTTTTCTTCCTGCTACTTTGGATACTATAATTCAACTTTGTTTATCATAACTTTACAATAACTTCGACTGTATACAGTATTTTATTTAATTAATATTTGTACTGGAGTGTAGTTTGTGTTATTATGATTATTTCTGCTTTGAAATTTGACTAGACATGTTAAATTTCAACAAGATTAAGTATGTTAGTAATATGACCCATCATTTTAATTATCTATTTAAAATTGAGTGATAAAATATTGGTATAACTGATTTATCTACAAATTCTTAATACATTTAGACATTTTCCTTAAATGTAACTTTACAAAGCAATTAACAGATGACTCCTTTATACCTTTCTAATTACTATTTACTGTTTTTTTTCTGTGTTTTTTTAAATCAACACTTATTTCAGCATTGATTTATATCCATTCCATTCATTTTACTTTTGTAGAATCTGATGTAAGAAATCCAATCTCTGAGGCACAACATAGCCACTTTTATCACAACTTCAATCACTTTTTTTTCCAAAAACTAGAACAAGAATATCTATGTCATTTATCATTTCCCAGATGAAATAATATATCATTAGCTTTTACTGAGTTGCTCCTTTATATCAGTTATGCAGTGTATAAATGCTTTTTAATATGTTGTCATGGCTTGGTATTATAAAGATTATTAAAGGTAAATATTAATATGCAGTAGAGCATACAGACTTTTATAGATGTCATTTTGCATGTCCATGACATACTACAAGTTTCAATGCATGCACTTAATAATTAGGTTTAAAAATTTCACTCTAGACCAAGCATGTCCCAGTGACTCAGCGGTAAATGAGGAGGCTTATAATGCTGCAAACAGGGTTTTGATACCTATGGTGGGCATTGCACAAATAACCCATTATGTAACTTTGTGCTTAACAACAAACTAGAAAAAGCTGCTGTAGTTTTAGTTCCACAATAGTTAACCCATTAAACTAAAATAAATTTGAGTGAATGATTTTTTTTTTTTTAGTATTTATTTATTTATTTTGATATTTTTATGTGTTAGGTTAGCCTTTGATGAGGACAGAGCCCCAGATCTTAATGATGAAGCCATATTGCAAGACATCCATTGTGTGGCATCCTTGTTGAAAATGTATTTTCGAGAACTTCCAAACCCCTTGCTGACTTACCATCTTTATGATAAGTTTGTGGTAAGTTACAGTTATTAAATAATTCTATTAATGTTATAACTGTGTTGTTTTGTAAACTCAAATGGGTCCAAATGAAAATCGTAATTGTTTTGCCTTAGATTTGAATTTACACCTTTTTTCTTGTAAATCAAGAATGTATCGACAAGTATGTGAGCTACCTTCCAATTCAAAAGTAATAAATGGAGAGGCTGATATTCAATAATAATACAGCCAGTTGTGTTCTTCCCACACACTCGTAGAAACTAATTGTCATGTGACAGATCATTGTATTGGTAAAAAAAAAAACTGACTTTTCAGAAATGTTAAATACAGATATAATAATTGTACAAGTTGTGTATAGATATGTCTGTGGGTATATGCAACAGATTTTCATCCTAGTAGGAAAAATTTTTTTATAACATATTTTATGTTTTATCTAGTTTATGCATATATCACTTTATATCATCCTCTAAGTGACATTGTATATTTCTTTAATTTAAACTTTATTCTTCTCCTAATTTTTGTATCTATTTCACTTCAGGCAACAGTAGATTTTTTCCTTTTTTGGTTTTTTTTTTACCAGTTTGAATTTTCTTCTTTCAGTGTACCTACAAAAGTATAAAAGCTTAACAAGAAACTAAGCCTTTTGGTTATGTTTTTAAAATAAAGCAATAATTTGTAGATTATAGTGTTACTTAAGGTTCATGCTAAAAACTACAGTTCAGTGTTCACTTTCACACATATTTTCGAGGTTTATGTATGTATAAAACTTATCCAACTAGAGAAATCAACTTGTCTTGTAAAAATCAGCATTAATTATAATATTCAAATGTATATTTCCATCATCTGAAAGCTTAAAATAGAACAGTTCAGTTGCAATATTCCCTCTAATTTTTTCAATCCATGTGCAGAATGAATTTTTTTCATGTGCACCAGTATCAAGGCAATGTGTAGATGTGTGCTACCAGTTTTTTGTTGTTGTTATTTTTTAATTTGAGAAGGGGGGTATTTTTAGACCGTCAACCTTATTGGATCATTAGGCCACTCTTCAATGCTACCAGTTTGTTATTTGGGCTTTAGGCCTATTGACTGTTAGGGTCATTAAGGCCATCAATGTGTTGAGACTCTTAACCATTACTGAGGATGTGCACAGCTGGAATAATGAAGTGTGAAGCAATTGATAGGTTGTTGTTTGACAGGCTGAGAAAGCAGCAAGTCTGTGAAAATGTCTGTGTTTTTTATATCATCAACCCTCCAAAAACTAACAAAACTGTTGAATACCATTTAGTGAAACTTTTAGATCTGTATACCTATGTCTGAAACTATTATCATGGCGAGTCTCTACAATTAATTACAGTGAGTTAATTTGTTGATGTAAAACTTAACCTTTGTACCAATAATACATTACTGATTATCCTATGATAATGTAATTTATATTTCATGTAATAAAGAAATATCATTAGGTGAATAAATAATATTTTTTATATTACTTTCCTAAGTTTTCATGAATGTGCATGTAATATCTTAATTCATATCTAATTACAGATAAGAACTAACTTCTTGTTAGAGGGGCATGTAGAAGCTTATGGAAAGTGATTGAACAATTAAGTAATATATTTAATGATTACTGACCCCAAAAGGATAAATGAATTGTAAAGGAGCACATCTTGACATTTCCCATAATGCCTCAACTGAAGATCACTTTTCTCAACCTTGCAACTAGCTCTTAAAATATTGCTGTTACTGAAAGATTACGTGTTTTAAAACTGTACTGTTACGTAATACATCAATTAAATAACGAGAGGAAGAATTTATTTATTACGTTAAAAAACACAACACCGTGAAGTACCACTTTTGAACTTTTTTGGTTTATCATAGCATTTGTATTATGAATGCCACCAGGTCACAAGAAAGATCATTATTTGAATAGAATTAGAAATTGCTAACTATGAAATTATTTGTATGAACTAATTAACAATATACCACTTCAGGTACCACTTTTGAACCACAAGTTAATTGCCACATTGTTAAAGGTCATGGCTTATGCACTTTGACCCTCACTCATGCACATATGGTTAAAGTTCAACTGGCATAAAGAAAACCAAAAACTTATTACACCTCACATTAACATACCAGTGATCTATCATATTTAATTAGCAGGATATTGTTTCAACAAAGTAACTTCCACTTTTCATGTTGTTGATACTGTTATGTCTCTAGTGCTTGTTAAAAGTCAGCTTACATTTGTGTGCTTACCAAAGTTTACTACATTGTGAATATGGTGTACAAATGTACACTCAATGTTTTAGCAAAACTGTGCTTTTTTTCATGATACTGAAATGATGAAAATACCATTTATGAATACTTTTGTGTATTGTTAGCTTAGCAATATATTTGAATTAAATATATGCAATGTTTATACACTGTATTTTAATACTTCATATTATCAATGAGTGCTACTTGTTAATTAAACTTAATTGGTCAAGCTGCATTGTTAGCAAAATAAAAATTTGAGATGATTATTTTTTCAATAAAACATTGAATTATCTTTTATTTTTATACAGTATTCACTAAGCACATTGTGTTGTCTTATACTAAACATGTGATATGTAAAGTTTGTGGTACCATTAATATATGATTTATGTATATATGTATATCTTGGTTAATTGGTTCCTCTGGTTATTGTACTAAACTTCAGACACTTCATTTTAACATGAAAATTTGGAATTTTCACAAAGTTTTAAAATCTGGCACTATTGTTAACTATTCTAGTGTTTGAAAACATTGTGTGTTGTCTACTATGATAAACATATAATAATAAGTTGGCAAACAACAGTTTATAAGCATATTGAAGTAATTAATTGTTGGTGAACATGCTACATGTTTTCAACAGAACATGTAATATGTTTCCTCAAAACAGATAACTTCAATATGCTTATAAATCATTGTTTGCCAACCTGTTGTTATATTAGCATAATGTGCTTCCTTACCCAAGTATGATATACATAAACCACCATTTATTTTAATGGGGATAAAATTAATTATTAGTTTTTTTATTCTTTTTCTTGTGATACGTGATACTGTAAGAGTGCTGTTCAAGCTGAAGAAGACCTTCGACTTCTAAGGTTGCGAGATGTTGTTCAGCAGCTTCCTCCCCCCCACTATAGAACTTTGGAATTCCTTATACGACATCTAGCAAAAGTTGCTTCATGTGGCAATCAGACATCAATGACTCCAAAAAACCTTGCTATTGTGTGGGCTCCTAACTTATTGAGGCAAGTACTTGGCATCATTATATAGTTATCTGTGTTAATAATTGTTTATGGTGGTGGTTTGCAGTGAATTTTTACAATAAGGTTTTTACATGTGGAGACAAATTAGATAATCACTTACAGGGGTGAAATTCTTTAAGAAAAATAGAGGTACTTAGCTGGATGAAGTGGACATGTTTTTGAAAAAGAAAATCTACATGTAGACAAAAAAAACAACAAAGCAGCCTAAATAAGTCCCGGTACTAGTACCTTCTTCAAAAATAAGTTCCAGTACTCGGTACCAGTGAGTACCGGCAGAATTTCACCCCTGGTTATTTGAGACATACACCACTTGTATATTGAATTTTTTAACAGATATTACTGATGAACATTTTTGCATCATCAGGACATCACCTTCTTTCTTTTAGTGTCAGTGTTACATCTTTGGGAGAAACCTAGTATCTCTGCATTTACTTCTTTTTTTTTCTATAGTGTAAACAATGACAAAAACACTTTGGTCTTATTCATTATGAATAAGAAACATAAATAATAATATTTTCTAAGACCTGCTGCTTTGAAGAACTGATAATAATTTCTCTAGAAAACTGAATATAATCTTTTTTTTTATTAGATCTAAAGATGTAGAAGGTGGGGGAGGAGTAGGAGCCCTACATGTTGTTGGTGTCCAAGCAGTTCTCACAGAGTACCTAATTCGCTATGTTGATCTCATTTTTAATAACAGGCTACCTGTATTCCAGAGCCCAACTTGTGAACAAGGTAGTTATTTAATTAAGCTTCTGTGGAAGTTCTAACTGTTGTGGAGACTAAGTAGTATGATTGAAATCAGTGTTATAGACAGGAAAAAAATATGATATTTGTGTATTTTCCCTACGTGATATGGAGATTTAAAATTATTTTTTTCATTTATTTAGTTTCCTTACTGTAATGACAGCAACACATGATTCAGAAAGTCATGGAGATTGCTTTGTTTCTTTTTACTGTATAGTAATATTCTGCCAGAGAGGATGTTGTAGTAATATATAGCATCTGGGTTGAAAGGATTAGCAATATCCTTTTTTGGAATGATACAGCTAACCAATTCTGTGATTAATACACAGGTCAAAATATGTGTTGATGCTTTAAACTGGACAAAAAAAATTAAGTTTATCTTGAGCGAGGAAAAGTTGATGAGCTATTCCTTGATCCAGTAGAGGTAATCCTTCAAACATGTACAATCTTTTTATTTTTCATGCAAACTTTAAACTCAGTCAAGTTATCAACTACAGATTACTCCCCCTTATTTCTTGATCAAATCTGCTGATATTTGTGTGTTTTTACGATACTTGTCTGGAAATTGGTTTCACCTGAAAATACCACACTCTTGAAAGCTGATGTTATGAACTATTTTACTGCATCTTATTTTATGAAGATTCGTGACATCAACTCAAACTGCAATGAAGAAGCTGTGCTTTCTCTGTGCACTTTTTAATTATTTCAAATCAACAGTTTCAGCATATTGCATTATATTTTCAAACCATTAGACTTAAATCAGTTAGCTAGGTGTCATGGGTCTTACCATTATTTGTATTTAACATTATTGTTTAGTATCTATTTCAAACCATTAGGCTTAAATCAGTAAGCTAGGTACCATGGGTCTTACCATTATTTGTATTTAACATTATTGTTTAGTATCTATTTCAAACCATTAGGCTTAAATCAGTAAGCTAGGTATCATGGGTCTTACCATTATTTGTATTTAACATTATTGTTTAGTATCTATTTCAAACCATTAGGCTTAAATCAGTAAGCTAGATATCATGGGTCTTACCATTATTTGTATTTAACATTATTGTTTAGTATCTAAATCTATCATTTAGCTGCATAGTTTCATGCACTTTGTACAATAAAAATTTTTCATGTTTCAAGCTTTTTGTGTGTCTTATCATCAAGCCAGTAGTAAAATCACAGAAATAAGCAAAATATTTTCCCCTCTATAAAGGATTTCAACCCAGTTTAAATTGTTTCCACCTTTGAAGATCCCAAATAAGCTGTTATTTGAATATTTAGGGGATTCTAATGTGAATTTGGTTTGTCAAGTTCAGTGGTTCACAACCTTTTCACCACCAAGGACTCCTTTTATTATTATTTTTTTCCCCATGGACCCCATGTTTTTGAAAGATTCTACCTACCCAACAAACTGTTTTTATGAACTAGTAATTAACTTGTTTTCCCATTTATCACTATCAAGTAATAGACATATATAACTGAGTGTGCAATTTAAAAACTTATTTGTTTAATGAGATGGTATTACCTTTGCAGACCCCAGGTTGGGAACCACTGGACTAGTCACTTTAAACTTTCAGAGAAGAATGTGTGATTTATTGTTTATTAGTTGCAGTTCAATCTCACATATTGAACTCATCAAGTGAAATCTCCACCAATCTTCAATATCTTACCACTAGACAGTTCAGGTTTAGGGAAGAGCATAACTTTTCAAAATTTAAATGAGTGAAACCAAAATTTTGGAGAAGGATAGATCTTTGGAATGAAACCCTCATAAAAAATCTTTGAACTTCTTCATCTTCCTGAGAATGAGGAACTGTGCCTCCTGAAATTGTGTCTTTATCATGAACTAGTTTTGATTAGTGATAATAATCAGCAGGTTAGAAACGTTAGTTTGCTTAGTTCTTTGATAAGGACTTTAATAGATGTGTGGGATATAGGGTTGGCTGTTGAAATGCTTTTTTTTCCAATGTTACTAGCTTCTTTCTCATTGTTTGGCAACTGTGATGACAGGGTTGAGTACATTATACTTAAACAATTTTGAATAAACAAATCAACAAGTCACGTTACAACCACAACTGATAAAATAATGGTGGAACAGAAAGTAACAGAACTACATTTTGACATTGTTTGGCATTTCATAGGTAGTGTAATGCCATCTGCATTCACTTGGATCATATATATGTGTTCAGATTGGGAATTTAGAGTTTCCAAGGCTGGGATATCCTTTAATGGCATTGGTAAACAAAGGAATATGGATCAACTTGGGGTATTAGAAACGTCCAGAAAGAGAACTGTAACAACTCCTATCCAAAATGTGGTAAGCGAAGTGCAGCATATTGTAACAGGTGTGAATCTACAAACATAAAGGTCACTTCCAAAAGCCATCCACATGCCTCACCTAACAGTGTAAAATATAAGCAAGAAGAATCTCCATTGTGGAAGTGAGACCAAAAGAGTATAGAGTCACCAAGATATGGTTCTTTACATACAACAGGTTCTGCATTAAGTTATTTGAAATTTATATCTATGTGTTATAATATTTTTTTTTATTTTATTATTTCTGCCAAAGTCATATGTCTATGGTCAAATCAGCTAGTAAAAGCAGCAAGTTCTTTTCCTAGCTTACTCATTTCTTCTCAAAACTGTAGTCCGTTCATCAAAAGAAATATGTTTTGGCCATGAGAATCTAATTTGAAAAGCAATGGAAAACAACTGTGTATGGCATAAAATTGTCATTGAAGATCTTACTGAAGAAGAGGAAGATACAAATCATGAATCAATCAATTTGAAATACCATATAATTTAGAAATTTTTTTTGTGTGTGTTAAAATATTTTGCTGAACCTTTCTGTTAGTGTATCTACTTTTTAATTCCTTTTCATCTGAACAGTGAGCCTAAATAGATAGATGGTGTTTCTTACTCACAAGTTCAGTAGACATGACCACTGCTGTAAAGTTACTTTTATTTAACCAGAACTAGGATCTCTGCATCAGTTGTGGTAGCACAAATCTGGACCATTTTTGATCCTTCCTGCTCTTTACCGTTACAGTTTTTACACAACATGATTCGTGAAGTAAGACATACATATTTTAAAAGTTACCATGACAACTGAAAATCATGTAGAGCTTTTTGATCTGCATGTAGGATGTAACACATTATAAAATTAAGTTTTGTTTTTTAAAAAATGGGAATTTTATAACATATATCTTTTATTAAAGTAGCTTGCTATTTCATTTTATATATATATATAGTGAGATGTCTAAATAACAAAGAAAAATATCAAATAACTCTTATAGTTATATAAATAATGTGGTCTATTCAATATCAAATTATAAAATTATGCAATCTTTCTTATAATCTTTCAAAATTTCCAATACTTATAAAACCATCCCACTTGATTTGTACAGTGTTTTTGTTAGTATTATACATCACACGTTTAATCTCAAAGAAAATAACATATGATTTTTAAAATGTCTTTATCAACTTGTTTTTTCTCCTCTTTTCTAGATTCTCCAAGGAAACAGCGGCCAAAATCCCTTGCAATTTCAACTCCTACAAAACTTTTATCCTTGGAAGAAGCAAGAGTAAAAGCTCTTTCTTCCAATCTACCCCTCTTTCAGCAAAAATATATTGATGTTGGAGGCGGACCTGATAACCTCCCTGCTAAATACCACACCATTTTAGAGTTACCATCATCAAGGTATAACAGAATTTGAGCTGTGCACTATGTAGTCTTTGTTTAGTATAGAAAAGTATAGAGTTAATAATTTAGAGATGTACTAGATAGTGTTTCAGCTAGATATCAAATAGTTGATATGTTTATCTAACCAAACAGTTTCCTTAGTTTCACAGCACACTGGGAATTATGAGAAATAGAAGTAAATACAAAATTTTGAAATAAGTAAAGAAAATACAGACTGAGTAGGATACAATAACAATTCTTTGACAAAGGATTATGTAATAATTTCAAGCAAGTACTGATTTCAGATGGCCATGTTGAATGGCTACAGTTGTAAGTAATATTTTTCTACAGAGAGAAAAGAATTTTATGGATATTAGTCTTGTCTGGACATGTCCAATGTTACTTTAATTCTCAATCTGTAGTATGGCCCACAATACAAATAATTGTGACAAAAAAAATCAGATGTTGTCTTAGTATCAGTCCAAAAACAAAATATACATAAACGTATCATTTAAAGCACATAAACTGGTCTCTGAGACTTCCACTTTAATAATAATTGATGTTTACTATCAGTGGCATGAAGACTGATTCAGTGAGAATCCCTCTGTGTTCACCAATTATAATTGTTTAAATGCAAAAGAGCCTCTTATATGGATTACTTTGAAGTATTTGGTGATTTGAAAGTTTGTGTAACACATTAATTTTACATCGTGGTAATGGAAAAGGAACTTTTCTTACACCAGTGAAGAATCGTCTGAAAAATAAGCATGCTAACTCTTCAGTAATTTTAACAAATTTTAAAATCTACTTAATATAGTAGTGAAGATGAGTATGTATCATCAAGCTTCAAGGAGTTTACCAAACAACAAACCATACAGGAGTGTTACTATGGAAAGAAACAATGAGATATTAATGTCATCGTTCTAAAAAGTTAAACTATGTAACTAATAAAATGGTTGCATTAGATAACCAACCACCATATTCACTTGTTAATGATCGGAGGTTTGTTCATTTCATGAAGAAAACACAACCACAATACAGATTACCAAGTGAAACTAGATTCTCTCAGGTATATATAAAAGATATGAGATTACAGTTGCAGGTCAAGTTTTGAATGTCAATGCCATTTCCATAATTTCAAGTATCACATCATAGTAAAAGACAAACAGTTTCATTAGTTTCACAAAACAACACTCACAGAAAATTTGGATCTGCAATGTATAAAATGTTGAAAGATCTAATGAATATATTAGAAATCGATAAAGATGAAAATGTTCACCTCCAAGTAAGAAGTAATGGGGAAATTATTATTAGAGGTTTTCACAATGTGTATTGTCAAGTGAATTGACATTACAACTATAGTTTCAGTGAGCTGTAGCTGATCTCATAGCAGTCAATAGAATGATTGTTACACATATCAACCACTCGTCTCTAGCGTGCCCAAAATTAATTGATATAAAAATTCATTTATACATGCCTTTAAAAAAACTTATACAAGACATACAGATAAGATTTAATCCAACATATTATCTCCCTGAAAAGTTTGTGGAACAAAAGAGAGCAATAAGAATATGCTGCTGACAACTTTACAATTTTCAACAATAATCAATGATCCCTTCTGAAGACATTTTTAAGGTGGTTACAACCATTTAAAAACATTAGCTTCCCTGACCCACTATTTGGAAAAGGATAATACAAGTTACTTTAAACTGTAAGTGAAATGGAACTTGACAGAGAAAGCATTGACACTGTCAGTTTCAAATGCTAATGTATCAGAATTCAACTTTGGTTTGGGTTCCCTGATGGCTAAAGTTGCTTTAATTCTTGTATCTTACTTACTTACTGTTGGAATTATATATTATGCTAAAGATCTTTTCATCTGCAGTCCCACCACATTCTTGGTCTAGGTGTTTGAAGAATTAGCTGCAGTAGGTTTCAGATGCTTTTTCATACTCTGCTTTACATGATGTATGGTTAATTACACATAATCACCTCAACTTCAAGAACAAACATATTAATTATTAATAAACATTGAAATGTATTGACTCTGTCCCTTATTTTTGTCAATTTCATTCACAATCAAATGTAATTAAAGTGACATAGATGACTCGTCACCATTAGCACCATTATATGTTAAAAGTTTATTGCAGGAAGCACATGATTCATTGTGGTATGTATATAATTAATGATATTGATCACAAAAGTCATGACAAAGAAGTTGCTGTCACAAGTGAAATTGATTTCTATTCATCTCTACCACTTTGAAAACAATAGTCCAATTCATTATTTTGGTGGAAATGAAACCGGGATTCAGTTCCAATACTATCATTTATCAGCCCCATTCAGCAAGATGATATAGTGGGAATCTATTCTCAAAAGTTAGCAACATTTATGAAGCAAAGATAAACCAGTTGCTTTCACAAAACACATAGCTTACTTGTACTTTCATCACAATATCAAACTCCTTAAGTATTAAACAAGAATATCTGAATGAGAAAGCGAAGATTACAGTGTGCCTTCAATAACTGATAAGTTTAATATGATATACTGATCTAAGTGTTAATTTACACTCACTTGAGTTACAGCTTAGGTTAGGTTAGGTTGATTTACAAGAATACCTATACCTATGCTTACTAAACAGCTTTTGTGAGAATTGATTGATAAATGTGCATTACATTTTCTCATGTTTGTTAAATGTACAGTAGCTACAAACCACTTTTCTGGAAATTTGTTTGTGAGAGTGATTGCTCTTCTTAGTACTTCCATTGAAATATGGAAATGTTATCAATGTCATTGAATTAACCTAGTGTCTAGCTGGTGGGACAAGTTCATAAGTGCCTCAATACTTCCATTGAAATATGGAAATGTTATCAATGTCATTGAATTAACCTAGTGTCTAGCTGGTGGGACAAGTTCATAAGTGGCTCAATACTTCCATTGAAATATGGAAATGTTATCAATGTCATTGAATTAACCTAGTGTCTAGCTGGTGGGACAAGTTCATAAGTGGCTCAATACTTCCATTGAAATATGGAAATGTTATCAATGTCATTGAATTAACCTAGTGAAGAGCCTTTCATTTTAATAAAATGAATGATTAAAATCAAAATAGTTGTTTTCATTCAATTGATATTACCTTTTTTCTACTGTTACATCAATAACATCAGTATATTATTATTAACACATATAATATGCAAGCCAATTTAATTTCAGCTTGTTGTCCCAAGGAATACTGTCATATTTCACTGTTTAACCACGAGTAGCATATACATAAGCGATGCTGTGATTGCTTTTATTTATTAGCAGTAAATATTCACTGTATGACATGTTTTGTCTACTGCTCTTATATTCCTAACAAAAATGTCCACAAAATAATGTTAATTTTATCATAATCTAACAGGACTAACAATTTCAGATGCAGTAATTCTTGTCCAACCTTCATATGTCATTTTGTATAGCCTTAAAGCACAAAGAGTAGCTACAAACATTGAAATTTCCAGGATCCCAATAAGTTATGTTCCTAAGCAACAATTATGAGCTCGATGGGGCATGGGAATGATCTCAACCTTCAAACAAAAGAGACTGGTATTAATAAATGGTGCCCTATGTTTAGTGATTATTAAATTTTTATCAAGCAGAGATTAATTATGTATTAAAAGGCTGGCAAAGATTACATTGCTTGATTAGAAACTGTAGTATTCACCATTCTAAAATTATTTCATTTCAATTTAAGTTTAATATAATTTGTATAACTTGAGAAAGAAGGATCATATGCTTTGGAAAATATTAGTATTAAACAGCTTTATACACACAAACAAAACATGTGTTATTGATAAATGAGTTTGTTTAATAATTTTTGTAATATTTACCAAAACCCTCAAACATTCTACAGTAATAAAGCTATTAGTTATTTGATCTTCTGGGTCGTAATTTGTTATTTATAACTCTTATACCTTATAATAGGGTTACTTAAAACTGTTTTCAATAAAAGATATGAAAATTGCAATTATTTGGCTGCTGAACAGGTACTGTGTCCTATTAAATGGCCAAATAATGAATATCTGTAACAACCTTAGTTGATATGTATGAGTATCTAACCAAGTAATGTTGCATTTTATTTATCCATATTAACATTATGTGTGAAAATTTTAGCTAATGAATGTCAAAAAAGAACAATAATATATCCCAGAAATCTATAGCAGAAAATGAAAATAGTTTTTGCTACAAGATGTTATTATTTCTCTCTCATTTTTTTATTTGTAGAACATTAAAAAGGCAGTAAATGTATTAGATAAGAGCTTGCTGACAACTTGTGAAACATATAACTCTATCTTGATGATGTTGATAAGAGTGTTCTGGTCCATACCTTTCAGCTACTACACACTGAAGTAAGATTAAGTTACCTATTATATTGTTCTAGTTTCCAAATTGAGCAGACATAAGACTTACCTCTATCATATTATTGTTATCAGGCCTATTAGATTAATTTCTGTAAATCTTATTCAATGATACTTTCAGCAAAAGGAGCAGTGGAAAAGGAAAGAAATCCCCATCTGGATGGAAATCTTTCTTCTCTCGAGGCTGGCACTCGGGAAGTACACGTGAAAAGGATCGAGGTAGTCAAAGGCCAATTTTAAACCCTAGAAAAGCAAGCACAGGTTCTCTGAAGTATACAACCACAGTTTTACCCTTACAAGTATGTTTTTAAGCATGTAATTTTATCTAAATTAAGTTGAACAAATATACATATGAATGTGGAGTGGAATGAGTAATGTAGAGGTAGGTGAACAGTATTGTTCACTACTTTTATGACTAGTTACTAAATTTTAGTCTACAGTTTTATTCAGCTTCACTCTGCTAATTGTTATTTTACCCATTGGGTAATTTAGTGTCTTGAAAGTTAGTTTGGTCTTAGTTTCTCGATTTCCAGAGTTACTTTTATTTGCACATCTTATTCACACACCATGTTTTGTGGATAGTTTGATTTCAAGATATTTTTTAATTTTATTTCTTAGCACATAATCATCCATAAAATGACAGTTTTGACACACAAAATTTCACTTTACAAGGAAGTGTTTTTAAATGTCAAGTAATGTAAGATGAAACCATTTTGTTACCTTTTCTGTTTCTTTATGAAAATAATAATAATTACTGGTAATATGATAAGCTCCTTAAAATATCAAATTTTCCTTGTATTTAAACAGGTATAAAACTGTCAACATAACCACAGTCCTGTGTACATTGGTTTATATGTTCCCATTTCTATATAATTTACACAATTATTAATATCTACATCTAAAAAGAAAGACAAATCTGTGTCCCTTTCTTCATCTGTAAACTTAATACAAGGATATTGATTATATAGGTACTCCAAAAATTAAATCAATTTTTTTTTTTTATTATTGTATATATATATATATATAACTTAAGGATAATGTAGGTATTATCCAGTTTGAAAGATCTCTGGACAGTTAAATTTAACCATTGGTTTTCATGATAACATAACAGGTTTGATAGACTAGGTCTAATTTTGAGGCCATAGGAACACTGTCTGTTTGATCATAAATGCTATTATGATGCTTTAACTTCTAGCCAGTTTTGGAATTCTTAAGAATAAAATATTTGTTTGTGCTTGGTATGTTTTTCAGCATTGGATACATTTTAAAAAATATAAAATATGATTGAGTTATTGTAGTTTGATATATTTAAAGCAACAGATGTCTGGTCTTATTTAAACATTTTTAAGTTCATGCTGTTTATTTCTTTTAACTGTAGTGTATTTTGTAATTTCAGATGAGTTTTAAATAGACAGTATTAAGGCACCTGCTTGCTGTTTAAAATCTGAATGTAAGATAGGACTTGTATATTATTGAAATTGTTTACTGGTTGTGCTTTCACAGAAGTTAAAATATTTGTTTAAGGCTCAGTGTATCAAAACTTTCATAAATTTTCTCTAGTGTTTACTGTGCAGTCAATGTATCCAACATCTATATTGTCATCCTAGATCTTATGCACTGTTCTTGGTACTAGGTAATATGTGGGCTGACACTTCTTGTATTCTTATTTACAGACAGAATTGTATATGGTGTGTCATATTGTATGAAATGCATGGTGATTTTGTTTTATAAAAATACAAAGGGACATATAACTTGTACTGTGTTATTTTTAGTACAGAGGTAGATTGTAATGGGAAATCTCACCTGAAGAAAATTACAACTTAACATAGTACGAGAAAAGTATCAATAAAAATTGTTAAATAATAATTGTTTTCTGCAAATGTGTTTTTTCATACATATATAAGAAGAAAAAAGAAACAATAAAAAAACTGATGTAAGGTTAAATTTTTATTAATTTTTTTCAATTGTTTTAGTTCATTCAAGGTGTTTTTGTCAAATTGTGTAAATCTTTACCATACATCTCTTTACAGGAAAATACTGTGACAGAAACAGATGGACATTCTAAAAAACTGCGTGCTGTGAAGAGTGCAGAGTCCTTAATCTCTTCGTTGGCTAGTAATGGTACATCTTGTCGTAACTCTAAAGTATCCGAGTCATCGGGCTCAGCAGGTAATGCACTCACATCTAATGAATATGTTAGCATAACTTCCTCCACCAAGTAAGTAACATAAATTCAGACAAAAGTAAAGATATAATTAATCATTTTTTTACTACTCAAACGTCAGTTCTGAAAACTTTTTCTTTCTTTTTTTTTTGAGGTTAAATCATTGTGTTTTTTGTTGTTGTTTTTTATTGTAGCAGATTTGCTCTGGTCTTCTGCTTGTATACAAAATAATAACTTGATAGATTTTAATTTAAAAGCATGACAGATGAGTAATTCATAATGTATATAATTTGATATATACTGAACTAGATATAAACTGAGTAGAGCTGGGTAATCAACTCAATTAATTGATGTACAAGATTACCTACCAGCATCAATTACATTAATTAATATTGCATAAAATAACTGATTAATCAAAGTTATGACTAATTCAGTTATTGTCACAAAAATAATCAGTTAAACATTTTAATGTTTCCAGTTAATTTTTTTTTAGTATTCTAACTATCCAAATAATCAAAATATTGCCATTGTGATTGCTTCAATTGATTGAAGGTTGTTTAGCTGAATCAGTTTTACAACTCACAAATATAATCAATTAATCAAAATTGGTGTTTTCAGTTATTACTACATTCGTTTATTCCAACTATCCAAGTCTTGTGAGAATAATACATTAGTTGAATTTAATCAATTAATGAGCCCATTGATCAGTTGATTAACAAATTTTAGTCTACAGAGTATGAAACAGTTATACGTGTTCAGTGTGTAACACGATTTTATGAACTGAAACAAAGAAAGTCACAAAAATGAAGAATAAAACCCATAGTAAAAAAAAAAAATTAAAAGGTGCTTACAGCAGTCTATGAAATGACCCAAAGCTAAATTATTGCAAAGTAAAGTAAGTGTAAAGTTTTAATGAAGGCAAACTTTGCTGAATATGTAGAAACATCTGAATGTGTGTTTGCAGTGATAAGCATATG